CCAGGAAAGGTAAGATGATGCATAGAGCGTAGTTTCTTGGGAGGTAGATTGGGGAGGGAGTCAGAGAACTTGGCTGAGCAGGTGTATCATAGCTGTTGAAGGTATGGATTCTGGAGGAAGACTGCACGGGACTGAAACCTTCTTCTACTAGTTGATTGCTGAGTGATCATAAACAAACTATTTAATCTCTCTGAGTCTCAGTTTCCTTATCTATAAAATGGTGATAATAGTATGCAACTCATATGGTTCTTATGAGGATTAAATGAGTTGTGTTTTAAAAGTGTATAACTAATATTCCTTTGAGGTAATGCAGACATATGTATTAATCAGTCAAGTCACAGATAAATTATTGGGGAATCAGAACACTGGAGATATTATATATGAGATAGTTTTTATTTTCTGAGAAAAAATGGGATCAAAATTTCATTCTCAGAGAGAGTGGAAGCTGGGATTAAGTAGGTATGCTTTCAGAGGGGAGTGATGAAATTTCATCATAGTCATTACTTTGAATGGGAAAAAATATTTGAACAGGGAGGCAGATTAAGGACAATTAAGTCCTCCTACTAATTATTGTAAAGAGTTTTTGTTCGAACGTGTGTTTTCTTTCTTTGTCAAATAGGTATTGGTGAAGTGGGTTGCCCTTGGCAACTCCTCAGCTGCTAAAATATTCCACTGATAAACAGCATAGTTCACACTTGCAAAGATGTAGAATCAACCTAAATGTCCATCAATTCATGAATGGATTAACAAAATGTGGTGTGTGTCTGTGTGTGTGTGTTTATATATATGGCGTACTACTCAGCCATAAAAAGAAATGAATTAATGTCCTTTGCAGAGATATGGATGGAACTGGAGACCATTATCCTAAGTGAAGTATCTCAGAAATAGAAAAACAAACACTATGTGTATTCTCTAATAAGTTGGAACTAAATGGGCACAGAGAGGTTAAAAGTCATTGGAAATCAAGCAGGAGGAGAAGGGAGGGGGTTGCGGTAAAAACCTACCTGAGGTGCAATGAACACTATTCGGGTGGGTGATGGGCACACTAATAGCCCTGACTCAAGCATCATAAAAGCTATCCATGTGACAAAAACATTTGTACCCACTTAATATTTTGAAAACAAAAAAACTAGAAAAACCATCAGACCATATAAAAGAACAATGTTTAATTTCTAGTATTAAAAATATCTTTGGGATTTAGCATCTGAAAAATAAATCCAAGTCTAGTTTCTATTAAAACATTTCACGCCTTTTTTCCCTCCACAGAATGCTTACCATTGTTTGTTTGAGCTATTATTTAATATGTACTTAATTTTCCATACATTTACTTTCTCTCTACATTACATTTCTTTATTTAACAGAGATAACATTTGTACTGTGTGTAAGCAGATACGTTCTTTAGGTTTAGAAAGCCCCTCCTCCATCATTATATTTGCATATTGCAAATATAATTGGTTGGCTTTAAGATTTTTCAAATGGAACTTCAGAGGCACTTTAATTATGTACTAGAACTGAAATTCTGTTGAAAGCCCAAGAAACCATCAACTCTAACAAGATAGCACACAATCTATGATTTTGAGTTTCCTCATTCATTTTTTTTTCTTTTCTTCTT